TCTCCAAGTGTCATGTTCTTCATCCATTGAGTGTGCTTGTTGGACACTTAAATCGAAGTTATGTGCATGTTCTTATTTATAAACTCGAACCAACATAACAAGAAGAATTATTAAAGAAGTTGTTTTACATTGAAACTATTCTCCTCCTATTTATACAGATTAAGAGGAAGGATTTTCCTCAATAGAGTAAAGAGATTTTCTCATACAGTTAGGGAAATCTTATTAGAGTAGAAAGATTTATTCATATAGTTAGGGAAATCTTATCTGCTATCATGCCCCTGCAAGATGGTGCTCCTATCAAGGATACCAATCTTTGATCGATGCAAAGCAAACAATTTACGAGCGAGAGGCTTCGTGAGTAGGGCAAGAGTAGATCGTTGTTGCTGCTGTTGCTGCGACGGCGACAGCTACGACTGCTGTGAAAGCTACAGTTGTTGCGAAAGCCATAGTAGAGGAGAAAGCTGCAGCGATACTATAGTGATGCTACAATAGAGTAGGAAACTACAGTAAATGAGGTAGCTGCAGTAGAGGTGCAGCAAAGGAGGTAGCTGCAGTGATGCTACAGTAGAGGAGAAAGCTGTAGCAAAGGAGGAAGCTACAGCGATGCTACAACAGAGGAGGAAGCTGTAGCAAAAGAGGAAGCTGCAGCGATGCTACAACAAAGGAGGAAGCTGTAGTAGAGGAGGAAGCTGCAGCGATACTACAGCAGAGGAGGTAGCTACAGCGATGCTACAGTAGAGGAAAAAGCTGCAACAGAGGTGCATCAAAGGAGGTAGCTGCAGCATGAGGAATCTGCAGCGATTTGGTAGAGAAATCTACTCGATTTGGTAGAGAAATCTACAACGATTAGCTTTTAACAGGAGTTGAGGATCGACAGTTGACAGCGAGGTAGCGGGCTGCGATTGATGCATATCACAGCCTGATGAAGACAATGCTACGGCAGTGGACAACTCGAGCCTAGGGTCGGTGCAGGTGGCGCTAGTGAAGAAGAATGCCGCATGGAGGAGAAGAGGGAAGGAGCGGGCAGGGGTTGGAGAGGGATCTACTACCGAGGGTGAGCAACCGGCCACACCAAAATAGGCCCTCGTTGTTGTGGCCGCACCTGATAGCAACATCGAGTGTGGTCACGACAATAGCTGGGGTAGCAGCGAAGGCGTCACGCACCGTACAGCGGACGACCATACAGCAAACAACCGTACAGCGGACGGAGAGGGGAGTCCGATAGGGAAGCAAGTTCGACAAGAAAGATTTCCCCCCTTTTCTATTCTGCAAAGGCAATGGATGTGGTGAATGATAGGCTTCGATGGCCGTGGAGCCTCGTTCGTCTCACTTGCTTTGATACCATAAAAGAATAGAAGACAAAAAGAATTATTGAAAAATCTATTTTACATTGAAGCTATTCTCTTCCTATTTATACTAATTAAGAGGGAGGATTTCCCTCAACATAGTAGAAAGATTTTCTCGTACAGTTAGAAAAATCTTATCAGAGTAAAGAGATTTACTCATATAGTTAGGGAAATCTTATTTGCTTTCGTAATCTTCACTAATCGCCAAGAGAATGTATTTCCTTTTTTCTCCTAAAAAATGATGGCATTAGTTAGTATTATACTGTACATCTCATCATTTCTTTTTTTGTTTTTTGGGCTTTCATGATAAGTTCACTAAAATAACATCAATTATAGGTCATGTTATCTAATTGTATTCAATTAGTGAAGTTTCATTAGAGTACAAAATGTTTGTTTGCAGAATATTATTTAATGTTATGCTGGGCAGGCTAAATTTGCCAAGAGAATATAGCCTTCATTGATCAGTTAGCTATAACCGTGGAAACACAAGGGAGAAGGTAAAAGCAGCATTGGAGAGATCGACGATGATCAACATAAGTAGGCTAAGACTTTAATTGTACCTTTAGGTTGCGAAGTGAGTGAAAAGTTCAATACCATATTGTCACTGAGTTAGTTGGAATTGCCTAAGTCGTGAGACATCCTTACGACAATTATCACGGACTTAACTAGAGTTGTCTAAGTTGTGAAGCACCATTACGCCAACCTCTTAGACTTAGCAAAGATTACTTAAACCATGAAGCGTCCTTGCAATGTATGCGTTTGCAAAGGGTCAACTTAGTTACAACCTCATGTAAGTCTCGAAGGATCTGTAAAACGATAAGTTGATTAATTTGAAAACAAACGACGGATAAGTCCTAACGTCTAACGAAAAGGGAAACTTTATAAGTAATTCAATGAGAACCTTGAGTGCAAGAGATAAATGAGAAAACAATGACTTTAGAAAGTTGAATAAATAGTTGCAAATCCGTAAACAACTGCTCATCGGGTGTCAGGTGCAAAGGCAAGTTCTCATCAAGTTAACATGTGAACTTGTGAAGATTATTCAACGCCCGATATTTTCTCGAAGCTCTATCCTCTCTGTGCCACCCAAAGGATTCCAAGGTGCTGAAATAATTGACATTTCATATGTAGCTGTGGTCTATAGGAAACAGACTTTGACATATACAACCGAAACCATTTTGAGGTAGTTTTGTCTAGCATTACAAGTAATCGCACTACAACACTGCAACCTATTCGAGCTTATATCTTTACAAGTAAAAATATATAAAATCAAGGTAAAATATGCTACAAAATATCTGTATAAGTATAAAAAATAATAAATGATTCGTTGTTGAACGAAATTATTATTGGTCACGACCGTTCGTGTGAATATGTAAATCATCCCAAATTAAACGATGTTTCTACAGTTCAATGCAGTGGAACTGTAGAAATATCCAAGGTGATTTCATAGTTTTACTTTTCTACGGAAGTCTCTTCAAATGAATGCTTTTATTAACAATTGGAATCAAACTACATGTGCCGGTTGACTTGGTTTGAGGTTAGACATTATGAACAGCTAGTTGAGAAGTCAAAGTGACATAACACAAAGTTTAGGTTTCGTTGCAAGCCATGTGTTCTCCCAGAGAATCTGTTCTCTTCCTTACTTGGACTCATTCAAGTTGTTGTCTAAATTGCTGATATAGTAGTGGGCGTAAAGAGTCATCATTGCATGGTGCAAAGATAAGTGGAGCTGACCAGCGAATTGGTCTTGAAGCTTATCCACAAGGGAGACTTGACTTGCTAAGTCGCCGATAGGAATGGGGATAGCCTAAAACTGTACCAGATTTATATAAAAATAATAATAAAATATATAATAAATCAAAATTAAATATTAAAACAAATCTACCTAAGATACAATCAAAATAATATTATCGTCTAAATGATGATTTTGGAGTTAGTATAAATGATGCAGATAAGATAAGTAGAACCGAACAAGTCTTGTGGCTTATCTACAAGGAAGGCTGACTTGCAAAGTCCTCCATGGGAATGGTTGTACAATGAAGACTTGACTTACAAAGTCGTCCATGGGAATGTGTCTATCATGAAAGGTGATAAAATAAAATATAGGATGATTTTCCTAGTAAACATTTTCATTCAGGATTTTTTTTTCCAAATAGATCTCTCTCTCTTGGTTTTTCTCAAATAGTATTTTTAATTCAAAAAAAACCTAAAATACCTCTCATCAACTTTTCTCGTCAAATTTTTTTTTATCAATTTTGAATCATTATAATATTTTTATTCAATTTATTTACTATGTTTTTCAATAAGATCTATAGTGTTTTTATTAAGGTATTAAAAAATACTGTAAAATCATTGAAAAACACTAAAAATGATTATATATATATATATTTTAAAGTAGATTTTATGATATTTTTATTGTGATAACCAAAATTCTGTAATAAGTCAAAAAAAATTTATTTTTATTTGAGTGATGTTATTTCTAAACTATTATAAATAGTTTCTAACACCTTGAAAGTTCTCACCACATAAGATTGAATAGACCTCCAAAGTAGTGTTCAATGGGATGACATGATTTACTCGTTATTCGATATATGTTTTAGTTTTGGGACACTAATCCTTCTTTAACGGAATGATGTGAATGCGAGACATGAACTATGTATGGTAGAAAAGAGTGATGAAAAAGGGCATCAAGATTAGTGTTTTGTCACTGATGAGAAACAGTGATGTAAAAGGACGGAAGGATGTCACGTCATCGAGGCAAAACATGTTACTCCCAACTCACCCAACCGTAACAACGACGAGCCTTCGGCCCTATAGATGTGGTTTCGAGGTGGGGACACTCCGACGCCGCGTGCATCACGTCACCGCCGACCGCCGCCGCTGCCGCGGTGTTTGACCCCCCAAACTTTGGTCACCGAGACATACCAGCCTCTTTGTGGGCCCCGCAACCCCCCCCCCCAGCTAAATTTACTGAAATAACCTCGTGGTGTCCTTTCTCCTTATAATTCGCAAAATAATCATTAATCGAGAAAGCCACAAATTTCACGAACGAAATTGCTGTGCGGTTTGCGTTCCATTTGATTGGAGAGGTACTCAATCGGAGATGGGTCCCACACATAAATAATACTAAATATAATATTACTAATTAGCAGTTTCATGGAAGCTACCACTAAAAATACATCTTGTGTTCGACTTAAGGCAACAAGGAATATATCATACTTGCAACGCAAGCAACAGTGACACGACCACTTTGTGCATAAAAGAATATTAATATCATACTTATTTCGTGTCCAATTTGCGTATTATTAATGAGAGAGCCACAGTCGTCTCGATCGACCGACCACTTGACGGGTCCCGCGGCTTCACCGTTTCTCAGTGGATAATTCTGTGTTTCCTGCCGTGGCCGAGGCAGGAGAACCCTTGGTCCGTTGTTAAGGGTGGAACCGATGCTGTCCGTTGGATGCCAATCGTATGGCCCAAGTTTCTCTTTCGAGCTCGAATCCGTTGCCCGGCGAAAGAGACGGGCTTTTCGTGTCACTTTCGCGAAGCTACCGCCCTTTTATTAGCCATTTAAAAAGCATGTCAAGGGTGTTTTAGTCTTTTCACGACTCCCCGAGCGGCCATTTATTGATGTCTTTTCCCATCTCCTTCACCCTTTCTCTCTCTCTCTCTCTCTCGCCTTCACCCTCCTCCTTCGTTGTCGCAGGATATCTACGTACCTTTGCCGCATCCATTTGGATCCGGGGAGCTTCGGAGAATTCGATCCGTTCTCAAATTTCTCGTTCCCTCGATCGAGAAATTCGAGATTTTGAAGGACGAATTTGACTCTGGTTTGGTGCTTTGGAACCAAAAGCGGGATTTCTAGGTCGATTCCTCGAATTGGACGAGGAAACGAGGGTTTCGTGGAGGGATCAGGCGTCGTTCGCCATGCTACTGGCTCGGGAGTTTGGGGTTAGGCGGGTCGGGGAGGCGCCTTCGCCGCCGGTGGCCACGCGTCGACGGTCGGCCAGGCTGGGGCCCTGGGTGTTGGATCCGCGGCCCGCCTCTGGGTCCCCCCGGGGGCGGAATGGCGGCGGGGAGGGCGACTTCCGTATCTGCTCTGCCGCCAAGGATTTCATGGGTCAGATTGGTGGGTTCAGCCACGAGAGCGAGCACGACTTGGCGTTGATGGTGACCGATTTCCTGGAGAACGGGAGCGGTAGCGCCGAGTCACGGTACAGCAGCGATAGCGATTCCGGGTTCTCGGATCTTGCTCACCTTGCCGAAAATGTAATGGTCGGTTATCACATTCTTCGGGCCTCTGATTTCTAATTCGTTATTCTTCCTCTTATTTGTTAGCCTTTAAATCTCTATTACTTGCCTTGTCTTTCAACCTTTTAGGTTTCAGTCTTATGTTAACAGTGATGGAAAAAAAATAAGAACTTGTTGCGATTACTGTCTAAAACAAAAATTAAATTAGTAGCAGTGGTTAATTCAGATTAAGCTTACGCAGCGATGTTCCCGAAGATGTTGCGGAGGCTACTTGGAGGAAGAAAAAAATGTCTGATAGGAAAAGATGGCATTAATTAACTGGTTTTCTATTTTTGCAATAGATGAATATGTTGAACCTCATGCTATATGGCCAACAGGCTTACTTCTCTTAGATCTGTATGTGTTCCCCATGTCCTTCATTCACCCTGCCCAAATAAACTGTACAAGTTTCTATCTTTGTGCCTACTAAGGCCATGTAGGTCGTCGGGATAAGCACAAATTCCAGTAATTTATGATGTAGTCCGGGCTTAAGTATGTTATTATATATGGGATTAATATGCTGTTTGGGTCTTCAGGATAGATGATTAGAATTGGGTGGTTATTTTAAGGAATAGCACTGTTAATTTGTAATATTTTCCCTTCCCACCGTAGTTCTTAACTCTTGGGCTACAGGTCTAATGGCCAAAAATAAAACTGATTCTGTGCTGTGACTGTCTGCTCTTTCTGCTTTTATGTGATCCTTTCCTCACCGTTGTGAGACTTATGTATCAGAGGCTTTTCTGCTAGTCATGTCTGGTGATGGATAGATTTTGCTTTTCCTTACTGTGTCACATTTAATTTTTGAATTAAAATTTCAATTAACCTCATCGCATTGGATTTTTAGATGAACATGACCGAATAAGTAGATTTTACCACAGGATTGTCAGAGCCAAAATCATCATCTTTTCCATGCTTTAGAATTTTGGCTTTGTGAATTGGAATATGCATTTTCTACAGATTTTTGTATTGTCATAGTTTTACCCCTTCCTCGGACAGCGAACATGAACGTCAACTGACTGAACAGTGGGAGAGTTGATTCGTTATTTAGTTCCTTAACCATTAAGCACTCGTTTGTGTTGCAGTTCCAGACTTTTAGGATCGGTGGGGTGGGCTTTGTTTATAGGTTTATCACTCCATTTCTATTGACTACTGATAGATATGTTAAACTGACTTGTTTAGGCTGGAGTATATTATGATTGATTAAGCATGCCCGAGTTTTTCTTTGGCTTTATACTCTGGTCTTTTTGGATTATAAGATGGATATGCATGGCTGTATCAAACAAGTTGGTAGGGCTTAAACTTTTTTTAACAAAAGATCACCATTATCAAGTTTTTGTTCGACAGTGGGTGTGATTAATTATTTGAATTTGACCTAGTTTATCTGACTGTATGCTCTCTGCATATTGGTTTAGAACTAATTCTATGATTTTCATCATAGGAACAGGCATTTTACATATCTGTTGTCTGTCTATGATTTATTGGAACCCTCCTCTCTGCCGACACATTTCAGAAACTATTCTGAACATATACTGATTCAAATTTGCCACGATGTTTCTTTTATTATCCATGCAAAAACACCTTAGATGTGTCTCTCACCTTGGAATGCAAATAATTAATTTCTGTTGTTTGTTTTGCAGTTTGTTAAACGTGGTATGACACAGTCTGAGAGCGGTTTGCAATCCGTTGTCCATTCCCTTCTCTTTTCTATTAATGAGGTAGACCTCTATCTCGTGAAGGAGGAGCAATGCAATGCCAGTTGTATAAGGCAGAGTTTGGTTAAGCTCCTGAAACTCTCTGGTTATGATGCTGCTATATGCTCATCTAGATGGCAGGGTTTTGACAAAGTTCCTGGAGGTGCATCCAATTGTCCTTTTTGTTTCAGACGATCTTCATTCAGGTCATTGGAACTGTCAAACTAATCTTCAACTCTTTTGGACTGCTTCTCTTGTGACAGGAGATCATGAATATATCGATGTGGTTCTCGGTGAAGCCGAGGGTTCTGAACGTTTGATCATCGACATCGACTTCCGCAGCCACTTTGAGATTGCAAGAGCAGTTGATTCTTATGATGCTGTTCTGAGTTCTCTACCGGTAGTCTATGTTGGCTCCTTGTCTAGACTTAAACAGTTCTTGCAGGTCATGGTCGACGCTGCCAAATTTTCTCTCAAGCAGAACTCAATGCCTCTGCCTCCATGGAGATCGCTGGCTTATTTACAAGCAAAGTGGTACTCCAAGTATGAGAGGGAACACAATGTACACACAAGGAACAAGCACATTGTTGGTTCTGATCATAGACAGTGTATCGGCCATCTGCAGCGGCTGAAAGCCTCCCTTAAGTTGGAAATCGAATCAGAACGGTTGCTGAAGCCTATAACCAACGACAAGAAACGGATGGCAAAATCAGACAGACAGAGGCTCTCCCTGCTCGGTTGCTGATTCAGGTGTATATGAATACGTATTGGTGCAAAGAGTTTCAATTCTTTGGATACAAGAAATAGCATAGAGAACAACATCTGACACTTTTTTTCCAGCAAACATTTTGTTCGGGGCACCGAATAAGTTGGAATTGTGGTTTCACAAACCGGCAACTAGGCACATAAAATTCAAGTTCAATGTTCTACATTCACAAGAAGCCAGCAAAAGCTCAGAGGCTCTTGTTTTCAACCAGCTGACTCACCTTTCCTATTACGGTTGTACTTTTCAGATTCTTTTCTGCGCAGTTCATTTCTTTGGTCCTGCAAAAATTTTGTTTGAGGTGTGTGGTGGAAAAATTTTCTCCATCGCTTGTGTCCTTCATAGATTCTTGTCATCAAAATTATACAACGATATATTGATCTCATTTACTTGGAACAGTGACAAATATAAATAAGTAGCTGAAACAAGTTCTCCTTTTGTGATGGAGATCAAGATTATAATAATGGCTTTTGTGCCTGCCCTACACTATATTTATTTATAATAATGGCTGGCTTTTAATTATTTGATTAAAAGGGTTAGTGTAGATGATCTTATCTCTGCGACTAGAAAACATTTCTTGACGAGAAACAATATGAAAAAGATATATTGTATTATCTTTTTATAGACGAGAGAATAGAAGATCTAAAATAATAATTATGAGAGTCGCTTCAATCAATGTCATCTCGATAACTATAAACAGCATCTAAACATATCTATAATATAATTTACTTAATTAGATAGATAGGGAGGCCACTAACAAAAGATTAAGATTGTTCCTAATCAGTATATCGTGGTTAGTCCTAACATACCTATCTAATATTTTTATTGTTTGTATTTTTATATTTATTTTTTTGTTATTTAAAAAATTAAATTAAGAATATTAAAAATTAAAATTTTAAGGAATTATTTATTTTTCATTTGTTGGACTTTCTCAAAGAATATATACATCATTTGAAAATTTTAAAACTAAAATATAAATAAAAAAAATATTTTTTTTGTTTTTCCTAAATATTAAAATTTATTAATATTCTAAAAATTGGGACTTTGATATTTTTATTTTTTGTCGATGTTTTTGGATTAAATTGAGTTAATATTTGAAGACCTGAAAATTTAATTTTTATCTTTCTTTTTTATTGTTATTGATGAATTTTTTTTAATTATTAAATCTTTCTATAAGAACAAATCCATTCAATATTTGAAAATCTAGAAGCTCAAAAAACTAATTTATTTTTTTGATCAATTTATTTTTTATTCTCCATTGAAAATTGTTGAAGACTAAATTTTTATTAATATTTCATGATAAATTTTCATTTCTTGTATGGAGTTGAAGTGGATGTGCAAAGGAGGATAAGTTTAACTATAAGTTTTTAACATCATATAAATTATTGTACTATATGGTTACCATATTTCCTAATTGATATACATCTTTTGTTTAACCAAGTTGCTTACTATCAAATTTGTTCAATATTGTACAATATAAATATATATATATATATAATTTCTCAAAGTTTTGTATGATAGTTTGTTCATAGGCTCATACAATTGTGTACTTGAATTCCAAGGAGATGGGTGATCTTTTTTAGTCCCTTATACAATACATAGTTTCAATGTCTATTGCATCAATTTATTAATATGATGTTAATTGAATAACATTTGTTTTATATATACTTAAAAATTTGAAGATCCATTACATCAATAGATTAACATGACCTTACTTGAATGGGATTTGTTCTATATGTACATCAAATTCTGAGGAGAAAGGTTTTTCTTATTTCTACTTTCTCTTTTCCTTTTCTTCTTTTTCCTTAAAAAAATAAAAATATTAGATATTCAAACTTTAAGGAATTATCTATTTTTCATATGTTGGACTTTCTTGAACATTATATACAACATTTGAAAATTTTAAAACTAAAAGTTATTTTTAATTTATTTAAATTTTATGAATATTTTTAAAAATTGAGACTTTGATATTTTAATTTTTTTTGTTGATTTTTTTAAGATTAATACTAGAAAATTTGAAACCTTAATTTTTTATCTTTATGTTTTATTGTTATTGATAATTAAATCAAATTTATATTAGAAAATAAACTTTAAGAATTTTATATTTGTGAACCTTTCTAGAAGAACAAATTCGATCAATACTCGGAAATATTGAGACCCAAAAGACTAGTCTCTTTTCCTTTTCATCATTTTTAGAAATAAAAATATTAAATATTAAAACTTTAAGAAATTATATATTTTCTATATGTTGTACTTTCTTGAAGAATACATACAACATCTAAAAATTTTAAAACTGAAAAATTAATCCAAAATATTAGTTTTATGAATATTTTTAAAAATTGAAAATTTTGTAATTTTAATTTTCCGTTGATGTTTTTTTAGATTAAATCGAGTTAATACTTGAAAAGTTGAATCTTTAATTTTTTTTATCTTCCATTTATTACTATTATTTTTGATAATTAAATAAAATTTATCTAGAAAATAAACTTTGAGAATATAATATTTTTAGATCTTTCTAGAAGAACAAATTCAATCAATATTTGAAAATCATGGTTAATGTTTCGCTATAAATTTATATTTCTTATTTGGAGTCGAAGTCGATCCGCAAAGGACTTACATAGGGGTCTATTTAACATCATAGAATTGTTCCACTATATTTCTTATTACTTACTTATATCATTAGCTTTGCTTGAGATTTTATAATATTAAAAAAAATATTATTTCTCATAATTCTGTGTGATAGATTGTCATAAAAGTGTTAATACTATGATATGTCACAGTAATTGATTGTGGAGTTACTTGGTAATCCTTTATCAATTTTTTTAAAGAGGCTTTGGTGTATTAAATGTCTGTCACATAAATTCAATAACATGATTTTATTTAAACAAGATATGTTCTATAGGCCCATACAATTGTGTTCTTAAATTCTAGGAAGATAATAAGTCTAGTGGATGAGATGAAAGCGGTGTTGGATCGTTTCTAATCGGTGTATCAATCGATTGGGTGGACTTGAGGTTGTTTGAGACCTATCCAATATTCTTAGATTTCTTTCTTTGTATCTTTCATCGTTTTAAAAGTGGAATGTATACAAAATTTGATATTCTAAAATTGAAAATTAAATCTAAAATATTTTTTCTTTAGATATTAAATTGTATGTATGTTAAAAATTAAGACTTTTATATTTTAATTCTTTTATTTTTTTTAGATTAGATTGAGTTAATACTTAAAAAGTTGAATCTTTAATTTTTTATCTTTTTTAATTGCTATTGATAATTAAATAAAATTTATTTAGAAAATTAACTTGAAGAATTTTGTTTTTAAAAATCTTTCCGGAAGAACAAATTCAATCAATATTTAAAAATTTTGAAACTCAAAAACTAGTTATTTTTTAATTAATTTATTTATTATTCTCCATTGATAATTATTAAAAATTATATTTTGATTAATATTATAGTGTCCAAGTCTCACACACATTAAATTACAACTAACACATCAATAGAAGCACAATTAAATTTACACTTCATGAATACGATAAATGATATGCTCATGTTTTTCACTTTTAAAATTGAAGTACATGTTAGGATCGTAAAGGTACTAAGAGGGGGTGAATTAGTGCTTTTGAAATAAAGTTTCGATTTGAAAGTGTCGAATCCTGGATTTTGATGATAAAATTAATTGATAAGTTTATGAACTAATAAACATTTGAGAAAAGTAACGCAGGAAAAACTTCAATCATGAAAAGATAAATCGATTGAAGTAGGAGAATAAGACGCTAGGTCGGAGTGGATCATGTAAGAGATCGGGCATCGGGCATTGCACTAAGATCGAATGTTATGGGAGGTCAATATGTCGATGGAAGGTCAATTCAATGACTTGGGGTTGGGCTAGGCGATGGGTGGTACTGCTTATGAATTAGAAATTATAAAATGTACTTTTCCAGAAAACCCAACGGTGGTACCACCAAGGTCAACAATGGTACCGCCCAATGTCAAGCGATGGTACCACCAAAACATCGATTAAAGCAGGAGGAATCAGACATTAGGTTGGAGTAAACATGTCAGAAGATTGGACGTCGGGCCGGAGGATCGGTCGACGCATCGGCAAAAGGCTTCGGCCCATGAATTTTGGCATCTGGCCAAGAAGATCGGACATTGCTCCAAGGAGATCGGATATTACGAGAAGACAACATGCTGATTGAGCAATAGCCGAAGGAGAGGACGATGCGCCGAAAGATTGGATGAAGCACCAGAAGAACCAATGACATACCGGACAACACAGGATTCGCTTATAATCGATCATATCTAGATCGAGTTAGTTTAGAGTCTAATTGAATCGGTTTAGAATGTAATTAGGCCAACTCAATTAGGAGTCAATTAGTCACAAGTTTGGGTTGTGTTGGGCCAAGTAAAAGACCCAAACAATAACCCAACAAGTGGCACCATCGTGGCATAGTCTCCAAGACTATGTCAAGCGATGGTACCGTCGGTCTGGGCGGTGGTACCACCCAGACTCAATCTTCGAGATTATCAGACGATGGTACCGCTAGTCTAGGTGGTGGTACTGCCTAGACACAGTCTCCCAGGTAATGGTACTGTCAGACTAGGCGGTGATACCGCCTAGTGTCAGTGCTGCAGGTGGTGGTACCGCTAGGACCCGAGAAACCCAAGATGAGACCTTTTTTGGCTCCAATTTTAAAGCTATTTAGGGTCTATAAATACCCCAGCTATTCCTACATGGAGTAGTAAGAATTGAGCACAAAATTGAGTTAAAAAATAGGGAAAGAAAAATTGGAAACTCTATTAGGATTTAGAGTCCCTTCTTCTTAGTATTTAGAAAGTTTTTCTAAAGGGAGAAGTGAGGTCTAAGAAAGAGAGGTTGTAAGGGTTATCTCCTAAACTCGTGAAAAGGAAAAAAAGTGTAAAAGTATAGTTGATCTTCGCCTATTGAAGGAAGATCATTAATGGATTCCGATGGCCTCGACGGAAGAGGAATCAATGGAGTGGATATAGGTCACGATGACCGAACCATTATAAATTGGTTTGCATTTCATTTTGAGCAATTTAAATTTACTACAAACTACTTTACCGTCCTACTGCTTTCACTGCACTCCCATACTCTTTCAAGTTAATATATTTACGAAACTGTTTTCGTCGAAATCGGGTTTAATCGAAATGAAGATTTTTCAAACCGAAGTAATTTTTTCGCTGCACTAATTCATCCCCCCAACCCCCCCCCCCCCTCTTAGTGTCGACTCGTTCCTAACACTCCCAGGTTGTGTCAGGTGGTGATACCACCCAAGCAAGCGATGGTACCGCCTAGTAGGCGGTGGTACCACCAATATTCTAAAAACTCAAAGATTTAAATTTTTGGCTTTATTCCTAAAGTCATTTAGGGCC